TCTTTCCCTGTTGTTTGTTTGTTCTCTGCTGTGGCGGGACATGCCAGGTCCACATGGGTTCAAGCCCTGCAAGAAGTGCCACAGGCCCATGCCATGTGGCGATCCGCATTCTGCCTGCCTAAAGTGCTTGGTGGAGGCTCATCTTGCATATGCCTGCAAAATCTGCAAAGCTTTCAAACCCCGCACCAAGCGTGAGAAAGAGTCCCGCCTTAAAATCATCCTGATGGAGGCAGCGCTCAGATGCCAGGTCCACATGGGTTCAAGCCCTGCAAGAAGTGCCACAGGCCCATGCCATGTGGCGATCCGCATTCTGCCTGCCTAAAGTGCTTGGTGGAGGCTCATCTTGCATATGCCTGCAAAATCTGCAAAGCTTTCAAACCCCGCACCAAGCGTGAGAAAGAGTCCCGCCTTAAAATCATCCTGATGGAGGCAGCGCTCAGGCCAGCACCAGCATCAGTCCTGGCACTGGTCTCCTGGAGTGCACTGGCATCAATGAGGGATATTTTGGTACAGCGCATCCCCCTGGCACCGCATAGGCCCCAGCACCAGTCCCAGTCCCCGGCACCTCAGAAGAAGAGATGGCCTAACAGGGGCAGGTCCCCACCAAAGCGTGCGCCCTCTGTGTGCCCTCCAGCGGGACACGTGGTGCCCACAAATCCGGAGCCCGGGTCACAGGGAACCTAGCCCTCTGCAGGACTTTCCTGAGCCCTCCACCCCTGAGGCCCTCGAGGCAGCGAGGGTCCTCATAAAATTGTCTCCCTCTCATGAGCCTCTACTACAAGAAGAGGTCCACCAGCTCCTTACTCTGGGGGCGGTAGAGCAGGTTCCCTCTGACTTTCTGGGCAGGGGGTTCTATTCCTGCTATTTCCTGATCCCAAAGGGATCTCAGAGCCCTCAACTCTCTCGTTTCAAAAGCAAAATTCAAAATGGTAAAATTGGCCTCCATAATTCCTTCATTAGCCCCCAGAAACTGGTATGCTTCCCTTGATTTAAAGGACACTTCCACATTTCCATCGCCCCCCACCATCGGAGGTTCCTTGTGGGTTTGGACCACTAGCAATTCAAAGCCCTCCCCTTTGGCATTTTGACAGCCCCGACGGTCTTCCCGAAATGCATGGAGATTGTGGCCACTGCTCTCAGAAAAAGGGGCATTCAAGTGTTCCCCTACCTCAAAGACTAGCTCCTGAGGGGAAACTCCAAGAGTCAGGTGAGAGCCCATATCATCCTGGTCCAGAGACTCTTCGAGGATCTCTGGCTCCTACTGAATTTGGACAAGTCGTCTCTTACCTTGACCCCAATAATAGTTTGTGGGTGCTTCCCTGGACTCTTTGTCGGCAAGGGCCTCACTGCTCAGGTACTGGTTCCTCGTAAGAGAGGCTGCCGTCAGGGGACTATATAGCTTTCCAGTGACTATCGCCAGGACTATCTTGGGCCTCATGGCCCCTTTCACCTATGTCGTGCAACATGCCAGACTATGCATGCACCTGCTACAAATGTGGCTAGCGGGAGTCCACAACCCGTCAGTCCATTCATGGACAGGGTGCTGACGGTTCCCAACCCCGTCTTTCTCTCGCTGGACTGGTGGACCCATTAGGCGGAGTTTGCTCTGGAGTCCCCTTTTCCAGACCGGTGCCGTCCACCCGTCTTGTCACAGACGCATTGGACAGCAGTTGGGAAGCCCACCTGGGGGACCTGCACACACAAGTATATGGTCCGCAGATGAACTCTCCCTGCATATCAAAACCAGGGAGCTCTGGACTGTGCAGTTTTCCTTCCCCACCTCTGGGGCAAGTCCGTCATCCTATCAGAAAACACGACAGCAGTAGTGTACATAAACAAGCAGGGTGGGGCACGGTCTCCTTGCCTGTGTCAGGAGGCGATTTGTCTCTGGGATCTCTGCATCGGGGTGGATATCCACCCGCTGGCCTTGTACCTCCCGGGCTCCCAAAATGTCCTAGTGGACAGGCTGAGCAGGACATTTGCAGGGCACGAAAGGTCCCTAAGGCAGGATGTGGCCCAGTCTATTTTCTGTGCGGGGGGATCTCCCCATCTAGACCTGTTCGCCATGGGGCAGAACAAGAAATGCCCAAGGTTCTGTTCCCTTGGACTTGGACGGGGTTCTCCAGAAGACGTTCTCCTCCTTCCCTGCCCGGAGGGCCTACTTTATGCCTTCCCGCCATTCCCACTAGTTCACAGGGTTCTCCTGAGAGTGCGGGAGTTCAAGGTGTCCCTGATCCTCATCTCCCCAGTGTGGCCCAGGCAGCACTGGTTCTCAACCCTCCTCAGCCTCTCAAGCAAGAGTCTTATGGTCTTTCTGCTGTTCCTGGACCTGATTTCTCAGGATTCGGGAAGACTCTGCCATCCGGACCTACAGTCACTGCACCTGACAGCATGAAAGCATCATGGCTGATGGCGGTGGAGCTTCAGTGCTTGGCCCAGATTCAGGAAGTCCTATTGGGCAGTAGAAAACCCTCCACTAGAGCCATCTACCTCCCCAAGTGGAAGTGGTTCTACGTCTGGGCCTCTCGGGGTGGGGGGAATCTCAACTTGGAACTCTCTAAACTCACAGGGCCCCCGTTCGAGCCACTGGCAACGTGTTCCCTCCTGTACCTGTCCTACAAGGTGTCCCTTCTGGTAGCTCTCACGTCTGCCAGATGGGTATCTGAACTCAGGGCACTCACCACGGATCCCCCCATACAGTGTTCTTCAAGGATAAGGTCAGGCTCCACCTCCACCCTGATTCTTCCTTCCACACCTCCTACCCGTGTTTTCTTACCTTTGTTTTACCCCAAACCTCGTGTCAGGGAGAGAACAGGCTTTACACACTTTAGATGTTAGAAGGGCTTTGGCCTTTTATTTAGATAGGACAAAACCATTCCGGAAATCGCCACAACTCTTTGTGGCCATTGTGGAGAGTATAAGGGGTCAACACAGAGGATTTCCTCCTGGATTACCGCCTGTATTCAGGAGTGCTATACCCTGGCAGAGGTTCCAGCGCCTCCCCTCAGGGCACACTCCACAGAGGCCATGGCCACCTCCACGGCCTTCACAGCACAGTTCCCGATCCTGGACATCTGCAGGGCCGCAACGTGGTCCTCGGTCCACACTTTCGCCAACTATTATGCGCTGATGCACCAGGCCAGAGAGGACGCCGCCCTGGGCAGGGCAGTTCTTCATTCCACAGAATCTTCAGCCTCCGGCCCTCCTGCATAGGTTCTACTTTGGAGTCACCTACATGGAATGCCCATGAGCAAGCACTTGAAGAAAAAGGAAGGGTTACTTCCATCATAACTATTAATCTTCAAGATGTGTTGCTCCTGTCCATTCCAAATCCCTGCCCACCGCCCTTTCTCCGGAGTATTGCGGTAAGAAGGAACTGAGGGTATGTCTACACTACCCCGCTAGTTCGAACTAGCGGGGTAATGTATGCACACCGCACTTGCTAATGAAGCCTGGGATTTGAATTTCCCGGGCTTCATTAGCATAAAGCCGGCTCCGCCATTTTTAAAAGCCGGCTTGTTCGAACCCCGTGCCGCGCGGCTACACGCGGCACGGGCTAGATAGTTCGAACTATGTAGCCATTCCGATCTATCTGTACACCTCGTTCCACGAGGCACGAACACATAGTTCGAACTAGCGGGGTAGTGTAGACATACCCTCAGTTCCTGGTGGCCTCATGGGTACTTCTGAGGGAAAAATCTCCGACAATGTGTGCATGCTGCACGCGCACACCTACATGGAATGGACATGAGCAACACATGTCGAAGAACAACAGTCACGAGATATGTAACCGTTCTTTCTCTGATCACAGAGACTCTCCCGCTGGATTTCACACTGTATTAAGCTCTGTTACTCCCAATCACAAGTGATCCTTCCAGATTATATAAAGGCACACTGCACCAGAGCCATGTCTACCTCACTAGCGTTCCTCCACAAAGTACCCATAAGAGACATTTGTATAGCTGCTACATGGCCGTCAGACCACACTTTTCCAAAGCACTACGTCCTTACACAGGGACCTCTCTCCAACCTGAAATGTGCGAAGGCAGTCCTTTCCACCTATTTCTGCCAGATCCAAAGTCCCCTACCTCCCTAATCATACATATAGTAGCCCAATGTCTGTAACTCTGTAACGCTGAAATGCTGGCTGTTCCCTCTGGGTGGTGCTGTTGCCTTCCCACCGTGGCACTCGACTGACTTCTGCGTTGCTCAGCCAGGCCACCACAAGAGAGCTAGCAGTGCAAGCGGCCGCTTATGCCACTTGCTCCCCCACAGCGGCCCAGCTGAGAAGTGCAGAAGTCAGTTGAGCGCCACAGCGGGAGGGGAAGCGGGGCTGGGTGGGGATGTTCAGGCCTTCACCGCTGAGCCGGGCCACCACGGAGGATCTCAAACGGCCGCTTGCTCTTCTTGCTCCCCGATGGTGGCCCAGCTGAGTGGCGCAGAAGTCAGCTGAGCACCACGGTGGGAGGTGAAGGAGGGTGGGGCGGTGATGTGCAGCATGACTGCGGCTCCAGGCCCTGTCCCCGGCCATGAATTTCACTGCTCCGACCCCCTTCGCCTCCCACCGTGGCGCTAGGCTGACTTCTGTGCCGCTCAGCCGAGCTGCCCCGGGGCATCAAGCAGCCGATTGGGCTCTGCTCTCCCCATGCAGCACAGGGAGTGTGGAGCCCAAACGGCTGTTTGGGCTCCGCAGTCCCCTGAGTGAGAGGCAGGAGGGGGAGGAGAATAGAAAGAGAGAGACAGAGAGACAGGCAGGAGAAGGAGGAGAGAGAGATGGAGCAAGAGACCAGAGGCTCAGGAGAGAAGACCGATGTGGAGGAGAGACATGAAAATCCCGTCTTATGATGGGCTAATTGGCTAGTACAGAATAGCTATGTAGTCACCTAATGTGGAGCACCCACAGGGACATCTCTCTCCTGAAGAGGAAGTTACTCACCTCGACAGTAATTGACATTCTTTCAGATGATTGTCCCCCTGGGTGCTCCACAACCCTCCCTTTCCACCCCTCTGCTTTGGAATTCTGGCCTCACTGGCTTCGTTCCAAGGTAGAAAAGGATCTGGGGGGCAGAGGGAGAGGGGAATATCATGCATGTGTGATGCCACCTAGGAGTGTGCAACTGTAGATGTGGACATACGCGGCCCCAGGGGTACTGCTCTAAAATCTCAGATTAATGACTTGTTGCGAACATGAAGCACCCAGGGGGACACTCAAATTGAAGAGTATCAGTTACTATTGAGATGAGTAATTTCTGGTTTCCATTTTTGAAAATCAGTCGCATTCCAGACACTTCCCATTGTCCTGATACAACCAAATCCTGACCTTGCATACCAAATTTGGTGGTCTAGCTCTGACTGGTTAGAGGGAGTTTTTGAACAAATGTATTGAAAGACAGATGCACAGACAGACAAACTATCAAATCTATAATAGATGGGGAGAGTTGTCTCTGGAGTGATGCTGTCTTCTTGGACCCCATAAACCAATTGTATTAGCCATTAGCATAAGTTCTGCCATTGGTTGGACTTTGCCTGGTTTCATTTTTGTGCCCAGAAGTGCCATGATACTTTGATCCTATTGTAAAGATTTGATTCTTGTAAGAGAGAACCCAACACTGGCTTTCTGCTTCCTTCCCTAGAAAATACCATCGGTGACCAGTTCAAGAATCTGACAGGAGTCACTTTAGAAAGCCGATGCAACACAAGCCAGAATGTACGTGTCGAGTGATTCCAGAATGCGGCAGGAGGGGAAAAAGGAAGGAATGCATACAGGCATGGGCATGCGTGGAGTTAGTGCAATGCACTAAGGCAGTGTATCTGCTGCAACTGGGTTGGGCAGTGTGGCTGGACAGAGATGGAGAGGATGGACTAGATCCGGTACCCGGAGAAGGGTGGAGAAAAAAGAGTGGGTGGAGATGGAGAAGTTGTTGTTAGAGTTTATCCAAGGAGGCAGAGAGAATTGCAGAGCTTCAGGGAGGGAAGCCCATCTCTGTGCTCCTGGAAGGGGCAGGGCTTCAGGCGGAAGGGGAGAGGCTAAGGCAGCCAACCCACAGCACCGCTGTCCTCTCTCCCCCCAGAAAGGCCTCAGAGCGTCCCAGAGCATGCCATGTGCTCCTCTGGCAGAAATTTAAAGGCTTAGGGCTCCAGCTGCAGCCACCGCTGTTTTAGCGGCAGCTAGGACCTCCTGGCCTTTCTATATCACCTGGCCCCAGGACAGTTGCCCCCTTTACCCTTCTCCCCCATTGGCAGGCCTGGGTTCATCCCTTCACCCTCCCACTTCCCTTGTCTCTCCCACATGCACAGAGAACAGCAACACCCGAATGCTGGAGATGCAAACAATTCAGTGTTTATTGGGGGTAGCTCCCAGCCAGCACAAATCCACTTTCCTTTTTCCTTTCTTCCTTTGTCTTCCAACTTGCTTCCTGTTTGTTCCAGACTTTCATAGTCATATTTTCAGCTATACCTTAACCAATCATTTTACTGAAATTTAACTAACCAGCCCTAACATATTGGAACATGATTATCTAACTAATTTATCCACTGCCTTAAGTGGTTTATACCCAGCAAAATTAATTGTATAATAGACAGAAACCATCAAAGAACCAGACACGCCTCACAAAAAATGAGAAATGGAGAGCATAATGACAAAACAGTAAAGAACTGAGGATTTCACAGCCCTAAGTACTGATAAGTGGCTCCTTGCCAGACAAAGCTACTAGCCTGTGTTTTCTTTGAGCCTTTCAGGCTCTTCCCTCTATCTGGAGGCGATGGGTTGGATCTCCTTTCTTACAGCCCCAAGCTGCTTTGTTTCAGTGTGACTGGTGGGGATGAGTGAGGAGGTGACTGTAGGTTTCCCAGTTTATGGCTGTGCCTGTTGCTTAGCCGAAAGCCTTCACTTAAGAACAAGGCCAGAGACTCTCACAGTGAGAGAAGCCCCACACAAAGGCAGATTGCGACTTTGATTCTTTGTTTTTATACTTCTATAACTAGCTAAGTAACCAGGATACCCCCACATCCTTATAGTATCGGCCTTTGCAGGTTGGTCTGAATCTCAGTATCCTAAGAGATGGGTGGATGGTTGCCAGTCACCTGAACACTAGGTTGAAAAGGGACCTGCCCGGGTGGTTGCCAACCACCTGAACACTAGGTTGAATAGGGACCTGCCCAACCTGGTGATTATGAGTGAGGGCAGGGAGAGAGTGAGCGACGGGGGGAGGTGGGGAGAAGGGACCTTGCGCAAGGAGGGGGAGCGGGTGTTTGGTTTTGTTTGGTCAGAAAGGTGGCAGCCCTCACTGAATGGAGAAATAGCCAGAGCTACCTAGCGAGGCTGGGGAGAAGGATACAGTGGGTGGAGAGGGACAGAACAGGTGGCTGGAGGTGGCCACCCATCATTCCTCTCCTCTTCCCCCACCCCCCTCCCCCCAGTGCAGCAGGTCAGTAGATGTGTTGTGGAACTCACTCCTTTTTCCGTGATTCACCTGCAGGGAAACCAGGAAAACAACCCATTTTGCATCTTAATAGAAGGTATCTTAAAGACGCGGTCTTCTGCATTTGAAAATGGAAGCAACCCAGAATCACTGCAGGTCAGAGGCTCTGTTCCTGTATTTGCCATTCCCTGCCTCCCTCCAATCTTCCCCCTCCCCCCGCCCCATTTGCTTGGACCAGTCTCCAGACTCTTCCTTGTGAAGATGAATATGTCACCAAAAACAAGGCTTAGCTGTCTCTGCTCTAGAGGAATCAACTGAAGCCAACAGCGAGTGGGATTACAGCTGCCAGCTGAGAGCTGGTGGTGAATGTCTTGGGATGAAGGGAACGAGGCAGTCTCTGGTACCTGGGTGGGCAGCGTGGGAGCTATGTGGAGTGCAGAGCCAGATAATAAGTGCTTGGAGGGCCCTGGGACCTGCCTACCATCACCCATCCATGTATGCAGTTGTTCCTGCCCTGGGATGTTCTGTGATAGTGTTGGGAGGTTCCCAAGAACTAGGGGTCACCAAATGAAACGAATAAGTAACAAATTTAAAACAAACAAATGGAAGTTTTTCTTCACACAGCGCAGTGTCAATCTGTGGAACTTCTTGCCAGAGGATGTTGTGAAGCCCAAGACTATAATAGAGTTTGAAAAAGAGCTAGATAGATTTGTGGAGGACGGGTCCATCAATGGTTATTAGCCAGGATGGGCAGGAGTGGTGTCCCTATGCTCTGTTTGTCAGAAGCTGGGAATGAGCTACAGGGGCACCTGGCATTGACCCGTCAGAAGACAGGATACAGGGCTAGATGGAGTTTTCATCTAACCCAGTCTGGCCATTCTTACCTTCTTCCTGTCTTCTTATGGATCCATGGGACCATCTCTCTGTTAGCCAGGAGGCTGCTGTTTGACAGCCCTTGCTTGACACAAAAGACAGAACTATGTAGCACTTTAAAGACTAACAAGATGGTTTATTAGATGATGAGCTTTCATGGGCCAGACCCACTTCCTCAGATCAATATGTGGAAGAAAATTGGCACAACCGTATATACCAATGGATACAATCCAAAAAATGAACTCATGTGAAATCGACAAATCAAATTTTAGAACAAAGTGGGGGTGAGGAGGGAAGGTTAGTGTCTGTGAAGTAATGACATAGGGGTGATAATAGGGGAAGTTTTGTGAGGTAATGACTTTAGGTGTGATAATTGGGAAAGCTATTTTTGTAATGGGTGAGATAATTAGTCTTTGTTTAGACCCATACATGCAGGCTGTGTCTAGATTGCATCCCTTTTCCGTAACAGGGATGCAAATTAGACACATCGTGGAATGAGGAGTAACGGTAGTTCGAACTAGGAAGCCTAGTTCGAACTACCTAGTTTGTGCCCCGTGTAGCCGCGCTGCACGGGGTTCGAACCAGCGGGGTTTTAAAAATAGCGGCGCCCCGCTTATGCAAATGAAGCCTGGGAAATTCAAATCCCGGGCTTCATTTGCAAGTGCGGTATGCCTACATTACCCTCCTAATTCGAACTAGGAGGGTAGTGTAGACATACCCTAAGAGACTATGGGTCTGTCTCCCAGAGCCTCTCAGCATTTAGTATCCTGTTCCAGTATAGGCTGTAGTTTATTGATAATGCATTGGACGGGTTTAAGTTGGGGGCTATAGGTGATGACAAGTGGTGTTCTATTGTTGGTTTTCCTGTGTCTGTCTTGAAGTAGATGGTTTCTGGGTATTCGTCTGGCTCTTTCAATTTGTTTTTTTTATTTCTCCGGGTGGTAATTGTGGTTTAAAAATGCTTGGTAGAGATCCTGAAGTTTCTGGTCTCTGTCAGCGGGATTAGAGCAGATGCGATTTTATCGGAGGGCTTGGCTATAGACGATGGATCGTATGGTGTGTCCTGGATGGGAGCTGGAGGCATGTAGGTAACTGTAGGAGTCAGTGGGTTTTCTGTAGAGAGTGATGTCTAATTTACCATTGGTGATTTGTACTGTGATGTCCAGGAAATGGATCTCTCGTGTAGAATGGTCCAGGCTGAGATTGATGGTGGGGTGTAGGTTGTTAAAGTCTCTGTGGAATGCATCCAGTGTTTCTTGGCCATGTGTCCAGATCAGAAAGATGTCATTGATGTAGCGTAAGTAGAGGAGGAGTTAAAGGCGATGGGATCTGAGGAAACGTTGTTCTAAGTCAGCCATAAAGATGTTAGTGTACTGTGGGGCCATGCGGGTACCCATGGCTGTGCCGCTGATCTGGAGGTATAAGTTGTTCCCAAATTGGAAATAATTGTGTGTGAGATCAAAGTTACACAGATCTGCTACCAGATTGGCAGTGGTATTCTCTGGGATAGTGTTTCTAATTGCTTGTAATCCATCTTCATGTGGGATGTTGGTGTAGAGAGCTTCTACATCCATGGCAGCAAGGATGGCATTATCAGGGAGGTTACATATGTTTTGTAGTTTTCTCAGCTTGACACAGGGTGTCTTCTTTTTGCATCCCAGAAAGCCACTGCCTCTTTCGAATCATTTGTTGGGAACATTAATGAGTTGTCACCCAAGGAGAAGGTCTTGGCTGCCACTGTTTTTCTGAAGAGCGTGGAATCGGTCGCCTTTCAAGCTGCTCTGGCAAGTCCCACGAACCAGTTAGAGCCCAACAAAAACGAGGCGATAAGTAAGAAAAAGGAACCCTCGCCCCCTGCACAGCTCTGAGCATCACCTTCGCTAATCTCTGTGGTGCAGGGTGCCTGGGCGCTGGCTTGAAGCGTAAGGGATCCGGGTCCAGGCTGTTTCTGCCTACCTGCTCGCTTGGAGCTTATGTTTTGCTGTCTGTGAAATGGGGGCATGAGCCCTTTGTGCTGCTGGGGGCAGGCGCAGTCTTTTGCTGCATGTGCCTCTGGGGCCCAGCACAAGGGGACTCTGATCTCAGCAAGGAGTAGGATTATGGCAGTGACTGTGAGTCATTGTGCTGTACAAAGAACACGAGAATAGTCCAGACTCCTGCTTCTTTTCTTGCCTCTCCTGCTTTCACTGCAGCGTCGCTCCGTTGGTGTCCGTGGCGTGTCTCCTTGGGGGAGACTTGGCACTGTGCTAACGTGGGGGGGGGGTTGTTTTCAAAGCACCTCAGTGAAGAACTTGTCCTTCTGTCCCAGCCATCGCAGCCAAGGCCGTTAAGGATAACTGCCGCAGTCAAGGGGAGAGAATCTCACTGAATGCAAAAAACGAATTGATGGCCATTGACTGCACTACGGTCGTCGGCTCTGATGGCTCAGGTACCAACTAGAAGCCTTCTGGATGGGCAAGAGAGGGGATCAGAGCACTCCAGCAGCGTCCTCAGAACCAGCTGGGAGACCAGATCTTCCAGGGCTTGCAAGAGAGGGGATCAGAGTACTCCAGCAGCGTCCTCAGAACCAGCTGGGAGACCAGATCTTCCAGGGCTGCAGAGGGTCAACAGACTCCCCAGGGGACCTTGCAGGCCCCTATGCAGGGTGTGTGTGAAGGGTGTGAAAACGCCTCCCATGATCCTCCATGGGACTGATTCTGGCTAGCCAGGAGAAGGCAGGAGTGGCCCATAGTCCTGGTCCTCGCTGCCCTCCTCTTCATTGGAAAATGCTTCAGCCTGCCAAGGGAAGGCTGGGGCCGTTTTTCCCACTCTCCCTCAGGAGCAAAGACAAGGGTGGGAAATCAGCCCCAGCTTTCCCCGGCCATCTGGGACCATAGGGGGTGGGGTCCACATTTTACAAAAACCACTCACAGAAATTCCTGCACACGGGCCTGCTTTGGGTGGCTTTACACCAGCCTCTTGGGCAGGGCTTAGTGTGTAATATAAGAAGTACCAGGGCTCACTTATATAACTGGTGCAGCAGGCCCAGAGGTGCTGGGACTCATTCCTGGCACCAAGGGGGATGACAGACTTGCTCAGCCCCTGGGCAAGATGGGAGAGGGCCCAGATCCATGCCCCTGGGAGGAACGGGGCCTTAGGTGTAAGGAGTGGGGTGGGAGGCAACCCTCAGCTTTCCCTAGGATGCACCAGAACCCCCTCCCACCCAGCAGCCCTCAGAACCGCCCGGAGTGCACCGCACAGCGTGATGGTGGGGATTTAAATAGTCCTGGGGTCCTGCCGCCATCGCTCCAGCAGCATTTGGAAGCCCCAAGCCCTTCTGTATTGCCCAGCCCAGGGGCAACTGCCCCCTTTCCTGCCCTGCCAGCGGGCTTCCCTGGCACAGGTTAAACACAGGCTTTGTGGCTTCCCCATGAAGAGGGCACATCAGGGCTGGGGAGTTCCCTCCGACCAAAATGGGGATGGATTTTCTGGGACTTATTCCTCAAAAACTCATGTTTACAGGATCTTGTGGAAAAGGGGTTTTTTTGGCGCAAAATGGCCCTGTCTACATGGCATTTTTTTCCACAAAAACCTGTTATGAGAATTGCTAAACAGTGCTTAATTTGCATTTCCTCTTCTGCAAACTCCTGACAGTGTAGATGTAGCCAGGCTGTTCAGAAATCACCTCTTGTTCCTTTGCTCCTGCAGGCACTGGAGCCGTCGTCTTCATAGTGTACGACCAGCTGGAGTCCGTCCTAAAGGACAGCGTCAGCGATCAAAGCCTGACAGGTGCTGACAGACTGGACGAAGTTACCCTGAATTCCAACGTAGTGAGTGTGACCGTTGGGGAACGCAGAAACCTCTCCAGACCTTTCAACTTCACCTTGGAGCATAAACAGGTGACGGGCAGCTGGGGTGATATGTTGGGGGGCACAAGGAGTCACACGCCCCCAGGGGCAGGAGGAGAAAGAGGCTAGACAGCAGCTGGGAGAACTAGTGAGTGGGCCTGGAGCTCACAGCAGTGGCCTGCCCCACCCCCACTCACCAAAAGCAGTGGGAGAAGCCCCAGCTCCTTCTGCTCTCCCAGCACATTGCTCAGAGGAGGTGTGGGGAAGAGGTGGGGAGCAAAGGTGGGGAGCACGGGAGGGAAGGGAGCCTGGGGTAGACAGGGTTTGTCACTGCCCTTCTTCAGGCTGGGGGGTGGGTGGCCGTCCGGTGGGTGGCCCTCCCAAATTCTCCCTCACCAGTTGCCCCCGAAAGGCAGCCACATCCCTGCTTGAAACAGAAGTGGGGCCTGTCTTGGCCCTCTTTTTTCCCTGCCACTCACCTCTTTCTTACCTCTGTTAACACTGCCATCTTCTTCCAGGTAGCCTCACTGCAGAGGGGCCTCTTCAGCTCCTTCCACCTCCTCCCCTACCCCACGAGGAATCCAAATCTGAATGCTGCTTCTGACCCCAAAATCTAGGTTTTCTTCTTTGCCCTCGCTGTGGCCTGGGTTATCTTCCACCTTTCTACTGCAGCCTCCTCTCTGGGTCCCCTGGATCTGTAAAGTCCCCTTCAGTCCTGCAAAAATGATCTTCCTGCCCACAGATCCCCTATGATTTAACTCCTTCCCCTGGTTCCCTCTCCTCCATCTCATCACATGCAGGCATGTGGAGACCCACTGAGAGGAGGATCCCATTCAACCAGGCACTGCACAAACTAAGACATGGACCCCAACCCAAAAGAGCTTGGTCTAAATATATGAGAGAGAGGGTGGGAAGGGAAACAGAGGCACAGAAGAGTCTCAAAAGTTTGTGCATCAGGTCAGAGCCAGGCAGAGACTCCAGTCCCTGAGTCCCAAACAAAAGCACCTCTAAGCTGTGCAGCCGCGCAGCTGCCTAATAAGCCCCATCCAGGAGCTCAGAGATGCCGTGTACGGGAGAGGCCCTTCTCCAAGTTCTCCCCTCGCCATCCCCAGCAGCGTGGACTTGCCATAAATTGGAGAGCAGCGCCCCTCCCCCAGTCCAACCCAGCCTCACTGGAGCTGCT